TAATCTTTATTTATCCACGGTACAAAATTCGTCAGCTTTAAAAATACCTATAAAAATACCTAATACTGATATAATGAGAAATATTTAAATAAAAAGCTGTTCGACTTATGTAACGCGTGAAGTCAGTGGATAAAACGAGAGGTAGAAGATATTCCAATGGCCCAAAACACCTACTTTGCTTTGCTCCAGCAATTTCAATACCGTGGCGACATTGTTGAGCTTGTTCGCACGCATTCGATCTTCGGCTCTCTTCTGTGAAAGAAACAAATTCAAAAGCGTACATGAGTAATAGCGACATCCTATTTCTTTTAGTTCGGCGGTAGAAGAAACCGTATGAGAGTTCTGGAAGACTTAAGGTGAGTTTTTAAAGTACAAGAAAACGGCTAGTGATTCCCGAGGTTTTTTTTTTTTTCTGTTGTTGTTGTTTTGTATTTTTCTGGAACAAAAACGAAATAGGTCAGACATGCATCGATGCATTAACTATGAATAGGCTTACCAGCGTTGTTCCCAAAAGAACCTCTAGCAGGGAGAGGAGAACATGACCATCTCTAAGCTCCTCTATAAGATCGGTCACTTCTAACGGAGGTTCCGCCTGAAGAAAAAGATAACCCGGTAAGTGTGGGGCGGTCTGGGCAAGTTTGCGCCAGTAGACATTTATATAATTATGATATGAAATCATAAATGATGTTTTGCGAATTGAATTGTTGTCCGCCGAACAGAACGCCTTGAGCGTAACAGAAAAAAAACAACAACAACAACTCCAGTCGTAACTTGCTATCGCGATTAACGAGTTGAAAAGGACATCTCTGTATAAGCTGAGGACAGCAAAAAGAGACTTATTCAGTAAGGTTCATCTCCTTGGTTTCCTTAACTGAAAGCGCCATAGCAAGGGGTTGTTGTCGCTCTTTAGTCTCAATTTTCTAGCATCGTAGCCATTGTTAACCAAGCTTTAATCTCTTCATCTCACAGTAGGCTTGTCAATAATACACTACATATACTATCTTCTATCATCTTTCATGATATTCACACGACCAGTTTCGAACCTGGCAAGGCTTACCATTGCAAGTTTGAAATTGATCCATTTTCGAAATATTTTCCTGTGAATTTGCTCTACTTCCTCTCCTTCGTCTAAATAGTGAAAAAGACAAAAGATATCAAAGTTTAATGTGCTAAAATGTAATCGAAAATACCACCTTACACTAACTCTGCTGTTTAGATCCACCCTCAAGAATCCAGTCAGGTTAGAACAGTGCATGTAATGTTGTGAAGAGTAGTAACGCTGAAAAGAGAATAACTAGAAAGCTGTGTCGAGTCTCGTAATTAATTTTGACATCAAAATCGTTTCCAGTTTCCTGTGGAGGATCGTTTTTCTAAAGAAATACTTTTGAAAAAGGCCGATGAAAATAAGAATTTCGCGTTTGGCTTAGTGATATTGTAAAAGGAAGGCAAATTTTGAAGTTCGCTGGAATTATTTTGTACTATCAACATCTTCTTGACGTTGAATGACCTGAAATGATGAGAAGATATATTAGATTTTTTAGAAAAAAGCAAGAAATTATCAGTGACTTTTTCTTGAGAATATTGAGAATACTGTTGATTGTCTGCACGTAACAAAATTGAAATGCTGTCATTGACCATCCTGAATTAAGAAACATTGGAATTCAGAATAAGGAACTTTGCAGAAGAATTGGCTCTCAACATGGCTGTGCCGCGATAAAGGACAATTTACCACATTTCAATTAGAATCCATTCTTGAATTCTTGAGAGCAGAACGATCACTAAGAGGCACACACTAAAATTTCTGCAAAACAATGCTATCAACAGAACTATTTCATATAAATCGATTTTCCTCTACTATTGAGTAACTATTGAGTAGATTTAAATAGCCCGCAGGAATTTGTTGAAAGGACCACGGGTTATCGTTGGATTACCTTGGAGAAAAAGGGACCGATATCTCTGCTGTTAACATGACCTTAGTGAGTTTGGAAAATTAAATTTATTAAATCAGGATGCAAACTTTTTAAGATATTAACGAAACCCCGCAGGCCCTCTGAGATGCAAAAGAACAAAAGGGATTGCTGATGTGTCTTCATGACCAGCGTTACAGGCTGACAACAGCAACAGAGAGCTCTACTTAGTATGACTTATATTGAAGAGGCCGAGGGTCCGATATTTCACGGTCTGATCTAACGGAAAATCCGAGGTAGATTGGCAGATGTTTATATTCTCAAAGTCTACCATAGCAAAAATCATTGTTTACTGCTTGAAACATGATAAAACACAACATATGCGAAATCGTTCTAGAAGTGCGTTAATGGTACACAGATTTCAAAATTTGCGACTTCCTGCATTTGATGCATACTTATGGCACAGGGAATCTCGCTTTCAAACACATCCTGTATGAGTTAAGTTTAAGACTACTTTTGTTTACTGAATGCAATTTTAATTATGGAATGGACTTAAGAGTGCACTTTATAAAATACCTGTTCTTTCTCGAATCGTTTGCTTGAAGAAAGCAGATTCAAGATCTTCGTCTTGCCTGTCGCACGAGTCGTTTTTTGCCATCTTGCCACAGAACCAAGTACGTTCCAGTTAAGATGTCGACATCTAAACAGCTTTACTCGCTAAATACCCGTCGATTCTTACATGCGAGTTTATTTAAACAAATCGAAAGGCAACAAAAAGAAACATGAACAAAGGGACAGCGGAGTCGGGAAACGCGCCACTTGAGATGGACAAAGCAAATTCCTATTTCGTTGGGACTGACACATGCCGGCATCATTTGGAGCATGAAGACGCTACAGTTGGATCATCAGGAATTATTGGCCTGGTTCTCCAATATCGCTATTTGATGACATAATAGAGACATTTTGCCCCCTAAGAAAACCTTTAACTTGATTGTATTTTTAGCTCAAAGGTCGATTTGTGCAGGAGACAAAATATATTTTTTGTCGAGGGCAAAGTCGAATGATTCCTCTGACTCAATAAAAAAAATTATTCGCCCTGGGGCATTCGCCCAATCTGTTTACGTAACCATAGAGGAGTCGGATAACTGTAACTGGTGCAAAACATTATGTGTCAAAGTCCGATTAGCAAACATGGTTCCAAATCGTATGCTTACGTTATTCTTTCGCTTCAAAATAATTTTTATGGAGCTTTATTGAAGTAATTTCATTGCTGAATGTTGCCTGATAAACGTTAAAGGAGCTAGGTCACGGTCGCGCACGCGCATGCGGTCACGAAACAATTTGAAAGTTTTAGCCTCAAACATTCAAAATCGTCGGCGAGGACGCATGAAAGTCGTGGTTTGGAATACACTACTTTCATTGTGTATTTGGGGAGGGATTTTTCAGAAAAAATCACATAGAAAATGATTGAGCTTATCACTGGCGGCTTTCATGAAAACAAAATTCTCTCTAGTAGGACCCAGCACTTAAACAGGCAAATGTTTTCTCAGCCTCCGACGCAGGAATGCGGCTCCTTTAATAAATTTGTCTGAGTTAAAATATATTTAGTCTGGTGTCATGTCACCCGTCTTCTCGCGCATAAACCCTAAGGCAGCGAAGCTGGGCACGGGTCCAGGCGAGAAGGACGTCTGAATTCTCAGAGGTAAAAAAAAAAAATTATTACAAAAAAAATTTCGTCGATACTTAAACGTCACCGGCGTTTGCGAAAATGGTAGCTAAATTTTGATTGGTTGTTTATCTTATTGCCACATTAGACACTTCAGAATAAATTATTTTGTCCCTGCTGGAACTGGAATTTTTAGCTACAAACACTTTTGTCTTCAGTGTGGATCAAGCCCTTATCGTATGACCAACCTTTAGACTAACATTGTTCATGTTTACTCGTACTCTATCGTCTGTAGAAAATAACCCAAGGAAAATAAACACGCTGATTGGTTAAAAACTGCGCTGGTTGGTTAGCACGCTGATTGGTGAAAGCGCGCTGATTGGTTAGAGAGACAGAACTAGCAGCGGCTGTTGATGTAATGATGGCGCGAGCAAAGAGAATTTACATTTTAATGATCAAAGTAAGCAAGTTGTTTTCTTTTTTTCAGTGGTCGCGGAATTTTCTAAAAGAAATAGAAACATGTTTTCAGTGTTTCTCTCGGGTTGTAGAAACACTCGTGGAAGTTTGGGAGAATTCAGAAAAGCTGGAGAAACTCTCGCCTGTCGGCCCGTGTTCCCTCTTAATGCGTTTAAGTTCGTTTCTTACCACATATTTCAAGTTTCGTTGTACAAGCCATCAGCGTAGTGGGACCGAAACGTAAGTTTTTGTCGTTTTCATTAAGTTTGCTAACCTATGATTTATAGCTGGCTTGCCCTCCCTCGTAGGGCTTTCTTTCTTCTTTCTTTTTATTTTTTTTTGTTTCTTTTTCTTCTTCTTTTTTTTTTTTTAATAAGGGCCCCTACGTATGAGCCTGGTCAACTGTGCTGGCTCGGTTTTTCCGAGATCCGCCTTGCCACTCTTTTCTTCGTAAAAATTTCGATAAGTTCATATGAGAAGCCGGCCTGACCGGGTTACTGAGATCTCGGTAATAGCAGGGAGAGGAATTTTCCCATATGCATGTGGACACACGAAACTTTTTTGACTAAATAGCTTTGCTTTCCCTGACATAGAGCCAGAATTGCGTAATCAGTTTTCCTTTGTATGTATTTCCACTTCAGAAGTATGCGAATTAACTTTGTATGAGTGACCGGACTCAACAAACAACAAACATCTTCGTGGCACGATTTTGTTTCTGTAAATTTCATCCCGGTCGACAGGGCTGAAATTTCTCATGCGAAGAGACAACAAAATTCGTTCTGATAACCGAGCCAACCCGGTTATCGACTTTACATATTGTAATTCGCTTCGCGTTTTCGTAGGTATTTTCATTTTACTTTGTATTGTCTCCTTTACTCCTCGCCTGCAATCCTAATACAGGCTTGCTAATTCAAAAAATATGTTTCCCTTTGTGTTAATTTAGTCCTAGTAACCAATTCGTCTTTCTTTTGGTTGTAGTTTTTATGAGACGTTTTCTCTTTTGTTACTTAGTCTGTGTCGCAGACGCTACATACCGCCGATATATAGCTTTTTATTCTAATTGCGCATTCTTTAACCACTCCGGTCGCGCAACTTCTAGCTGGCAATTCGTTCTGTCTTAATTTCTCTTACCGCTTAAGTAATTTATGCGTAGTTGCCACTAGACATATCGTCAAGAAAAGGAAAAGGGTAGGACAGTTGTATCCGAGGAAGAGTTAGACAGCTGGCTGTCGGTTTTTTTTTCTCTTCTGGTCAGACGACTGTTTGACCTGTTTATTCATGAACATGACCGTAAGGGGGCGGCGTTTGGAAGGAGAGAATGATCGCAGGTTAGGGCGCTATGGACGATAGGCGTTGGGTTTTTTGTCTCGTGATGAGTGCCACGCCCATGTCTTGTCCTGACTCCTTTTAGTCTAAAGCGTCTCGTCTCATCCTGCGTGCCTGATTTGGAGAGAAAAACAGACTAGCCAGCAGCAGTCTGGGAACAGACGGGTGGTGGGGGGTAGGCCTTTTCCGTATAATCCAGCTGAGGACGCAGCATACGGAACATTCCCAGCATCCGATGGCACTACTATGAAGCTAAATTTGTTTATGACTTGACTGTTAGTTGCAGTTAGTCTTGTGTCTCGTGATCATCACTGGCTGTGCAACAGTCAAGGTCAGCCCACACGTATCTTGTCAAGGTTCTCAGTTTCCTTACACGTTTTGTCTGGGAGGTTTAGCTTTTAACAATAATAGCTTCCATCGGTGTTCATGTTTGGGTCTGATAGGGTCTCCACTGAAGTTCCTGTTTTGGCGTAAGTTCTTAAAGGAACTCAGTCACGGTATTTTGAGTTATTTTGGCCACATACAAAATTACCTGTAAATGGTAGGAAATCTGAAAATAACAGTTTAATAAGATGGAACAACACCAAACACATAATGATAAACCATAAAGGAACAAGGATGGCTAAGGATGGAGAAGATTACTGGCATGGAATACAAATGACGAATTTGAAAAATTAAGGCTAAAATTTTCAATATGCGCAAACCGCGAAGTCCTAGGCCTTGATGGCTTTTCTATTGTTTTTACCTCTTTTGAGCGGCCAACCCCTTTTAAGCGGCCACAGTCCATTTCTCCGAGGGTGGCCGTTTAATAGGGGTTCGACTGTATGACGACGATTAGGCTTTTGTCGATTGTGCTAGTATAATTTTTGACATAATTTAGCAAACCAACCAAATTTTTAAGCTTTTAATCTAAATTTAGCACTGTTAGCATAATCTAGCTTTTTTGACTTTCACGAAATGAAAGAGTAACGTAGTTTGGTTTTGACTATTCTTCTTTTTACGTGCTCTGTTTTTAAAACTCTTTCTCTCAGTAAATCTTCTTGGCTCCGGGCTGCCTTTGGTCGGTGTGGTGTTTCTTGGTCTCAGTCCCGCGCGTAGGGTTCGGTAGTGAGATGATGGTGTGGTCGTCGATCCGACCACTTCTCGAGTTCAAGTCAGTCAGTTCAGCAGTTGACAATGCCGTACAAAGAGCTTCAATCTCTCGGAAGCGTTTATTGAAACCGACCAAAGGAAAATATACCGAAGAAAAAAACCTTAGAGACAAAAACGGATGTCTTTATGAATGAATTAAGGTCATTCCACTGAAATAGAACCTGCACTGAGATTTTTGTAAAACTTTGCCTATTGATTGTTTATATTGTAGGAACTTAAATTTGGAAATAAAAATGAGGGGTCCCCATGTTCGTTTAGAAGCAACAGCACCTTGTTTATACCATATAAATCCTTACAATAGCACCATGATTATAGTGACGATTGCTTGCTAAATTCACGTTTCCGACGATTGTTTCTTGCTCAACACTGAGAATTGGCCCATATTTATTTTACATGGAGAAATTTATTACTCAGTTCAACACTACAGAAAAAAATGATAAGTCACGGTACTCGTTTTCGAGAAAATGACGATTTACTTCTATGGCGAGGTCCAGCCGCAAAGAAAAAGCCGCCATTTTTTAATGCGCGCGCGCTAATCACGCGTGAAATTATGGGCAGTAGGGATGCGTAATGCAATACTGGGGAATGACCATAAACCGGCAATTATAAGAGGAAAGTTTGAGTCTTCGAAACGCTATGCGCTTCTTCGTCAGTGTTTCGTTTTCACTCGCCCTGTTCTGTCTTTATTTTGCTTCAAAGCTAAGTAGCATATTTTTGATGGTAGGAAGCATAAGTTAGAGAAAGTAGCATAATTTTGGCATAATTTCCAAACATTTTGGGCATTGCTAGAGGTATAATACAGTCAAAACTGTATTAGGCGGACACCCACAGGACCCGTGCTAGCGTCCGCTTAATACAGGGTGTCCGCTGAAAACAGGTTCCCTCAGAATTCGTCTTAAAAGGGTCAAATAGCATTCTCGTGAACGGTCGAGAACTCTGAAATACCGTATTTCCATAAACAATGACGAGTATCAGAGGTAAAGCGATTTCAGTATACAGTAACCGTACCTATATTGATCGAATCATGTGAAGGTTTACAGCAAAATCAAATAAGAACAAAAGTTCTGTAAAAACAAAACCGAATAACAAAATGTTGCATTTCTGTGACAGCTCAGTTTGTTGGCAAACTTGAATGACCGATATACTAAAACGTGGACAAAAAACTCGTGCATTCTTTTTGCAGTATCCGTTTGATACAGGTTTCTAAAAATAGAAATGACCATAAAAGTCAAGGTGTCCGCGTCCGCTTATTAGAGGTGTCCGTTGAATACAGGTATTTTTTACAGTAAATGTGGGAAAAGAAAAATGGGACTTGCACTGCTGTCCGCTTAATAGAGGGTGTCCGCTTTATATGGGGTCCGCTTAATACAGGTTTGACTGTACGCCATTTTTACGAGCACAATCGACAAGAGCTTAACGACGATTGTTCAACTCGCAGCACCTTGCCTGCAGGGTGAACTCTCAGTTGAGAAATAATAAAAATTTAGAGATTTTACTTCATATTATTTTCACGATTCAGGGTTAGTGCCTAACAATTTCCTTGTGAAGTTTAAGAAAAGAAAAAAAATTAACAAGTGCTCCAGAGTTTCTCGAATTAATACTTGCGCTAGCAAAATATTCATATAAAAGTTTTCAAAATCAGGCAAAGCGTATATACAACAAAAGAATATTTCTTGCCATGATATTATTTGAAGCGTTAATTTTGCTTAAGAGAGAGTATAAGTACTAGGAATTTGTATTCTTTTCTGCCATCTTGGGCCTTAATTCCGCCTTTTCACAATCCAGAAGTCCATTTCTGACAGGTTTGCATCCGGTTATTCTCGACAGCGTTGTTTACCAGTTGCATCATCCGTTTCCGTTCTTCCCACGGTCTGTTATCAAATTACTATTGAAAAATGCGATGTCAATTTTTCTCAAGCGCAACAAAAGGTGAGAAAATTTTACTATCACCTCTGAAACTTGTTGTAGATACTTCCTCTTTCGTCAGATCGAGTCTTTTCGGAAGCTTAAGTTCTCGAAGGGGTGACTCATTCGATGTAAGTACTTAGCAAATATTCGAACAACTCGAACTATCCGTTTGAGCCATGGCCAGGAGCGATCGAATAACGCTTCGAAAATAATGTTCGTAAGGAGGTGAGTTTCAGCGTCTCCCGAACAGAAATGAACACAATTCTGAAAATGCAGGTTTTCTTACAACTAACGGGATCCACATTTTATTTTGTGAAGCTATTTGGTGGCTTACTTTAAATGTTAGGTGATGAACTGAGCTTTTGTGAATATTGTAATTTAAGAGCTTTTGCAATCTTTCGTCGATTACCGGCTTAGCTGAAACGTATTTGACTTTCACTGTTTTCAGAAGGAATTAAAATAAATTGACCTTGATCTCAAATATTTCAAGCATTACAATCACGCGGAAAGTATTGCAGTATACTTCAACAGCCGGTTTTTCTTACAATAATATTATATTGTTTTAGTTTACCTTGGGCAAAAAATATTCACACCTATTGTAGCAATAATTCGTGCCTTACCACACGACGAGGCCTTAAAATAAAACATTGCACCTGTTCTATTTCAATTAAGGAAGAATTACTTTTATTCACAGTCAACCTAAATGGAAAAACGTGCTTGTAGGACTTCATGTTTTTCAGTATTTTAAGTTTAATTCAATTTACTATCATGGAAGTACTTGAAGTACAGTACAACAAGTTTTTAATTGAGACGTGTAAGAGCTTATCGTTTTTTCCTAAGAATATCGTAGACCTTTTGCCCATGCTATGCTTTAGTTGTATTTTCATCTAACAATGTCATACATTTGTTTTTTCAAGAGAAACAGACGGACCTATCACCTGCCATTAACTGTCAGAATTCCAGGAACAATTAAATATTAGACAGGTATTGGGATAGCTAATTTGAGCAATTTTTCTAACCTACAACCTAAAACTTGACATAAAGTGCTATTAGAAGCAGTAGAGGAATACAGTGACAAGCGAGCATATTGAGCTAATTGCAATTTTGAGGGCTCCAGCTGCTGACTAATGCCTGTTACTTAAGGTCATGGTAGGGAACTGAGCCATTTCTGTGAAGTAATTGAATTTTTGCACGAAAGCTTATTTCCTCGAAGTTGACAGAGATTGATGCCACCCAAGGAAATGCAAGACTCAATGAGAGTATGGCATTCTTTTTGGGATAAATTTAATATTAATGCAAAGGATAGAATTGGATAGATTAAAATAAGTTTCATTGTCAGTAATTGGACAGGTGCACAACAAACTGGCATCAAGTTTGTTTTTTGCAATAAACTATTGCATAAATTATAAATTCATGTGTCTGTCCACTTAATGGCGAGGAAAATCAGCCAATAAGCACACAAGAATGTTTGCAGTTATTGTAGAATTAATAATTATTCTATTTGCGAAATGAAATGTTCATCAAGTACTTTGGGTATGGTAAAGGCTTTTTCATGACTCCTAGCTAGGACAGCTGCTTTATCTCCCCTGATTCCTGGGGGGGGGGGGGGGGGGGGGGGACTCTCCTCTATGTGCTATATATAGCTATGTGCAGCCCCAAAGGGTATGGTTATTCAGCCNAAATGGACAGGGTTGCTCATGCCCTAAGGGATACCAAGATCCTGTCTTGTAGGTGTGGCTTGAATTTTTTTTCACCCCTAAGAGTCTAAGAGGTACCAATTCTAAAACAATACATTAACTGACTCCTTCATAATTTCATCTGCTTGTAAAGTTTCAAAGCCTTTAGTAGATAAAATTGAATATTTTTTTCAGCTCAGTACCCCGAAAGGTACCCCAAAAGCTCCTGCCACTGTGGACGTTTCAAGGCTGAACACCCTAAGAGGTACCAAATCGCTTTTTTAACCCCTAAAAGATATTCCCAAAAAGATGCTTGCTCAGATAAAAAAAATTCAGGAACAATAATGTAATATTTACATCACCTGTTTACCTCATATTTATGTTTCAGGAGTACTTTGCAGAATCAGTCAAAACAGCATTTAGCTTTTGTGGGATCATGCCAACCATTTCCTAAAAAGCCTCCTAAAATATACTGTGAACATGGAAGATAAAGAACGAATGCTTGGAGACAATACCGATGCAGAAGAATCACAACAAGACAACTGTGGAAAGCCTGAAGGTGGCTGGGGCTGGGTTGTATGCTGTGGCACATTCAGTGTCAACTTTATAGTGTTTGGAATTCATAACTCCTTTGGTGTAGTCTATGAATATTTGGTGGACGAACAAAACATGGGAGAAGCAGAGACAGGTAAAATTATAAGTCAAACTACATGTGCAGAGGTCTTGATCGATAAAACTTAAGTCTTACTGTTGCTGGTTTTCATTGTCATGCCATCAAGAATAAAATTAAGATATAAATAACCTTGCTAAGATTTGGTCTGTGTGGGTTTTCATTTGCATGTTATTTGGAAATGTGTTTCACCCAAATTTATAGAGTTTCCTATGGAAATGCTATATTGGTGCACCTCAGAGGGACCCCAGGATGCAGGCCATAAAGTAACAGAAACTTCAGAAGGATTGGTAATTTTTAATTTTGGAAAATGTTGACATCACATGACAACCAGAAATTCAGCATCCCCGACCTTTTTTTATGGGAGTTTCCTCCCTCCCTCAGGCATGCATGACTCCCATCTGCTACTTGTTCCAGACTGCGAAGTTCAGTAACAATTACTGTGAAAATCTGAATTCAGTTTCCATGCAAAAAAGTGCAGTGAACAGCGCTAAAAGTCACATATGATCCCTGAATAACAAGTTTACATTGCAGGTATTAAAATCTCATAAAGATACGAATAATTCCAGCAAGAGTGGTGTAATTTCCATATCCTTACAAGCGAGGATATTGATTACATCATTTGCTGCTTTATCATGGTTGTTTCTGCAAACAGTTACCTCTCAAAAATGAAATTTAGATTTTTGTGGTGCCTTGTAATATCCCATTTCTTATACAATAATTATAGACATGAGTGTTGTACTGGAAAATACACCACTAAAAATTCATGGGACCCAAGTGGCATATTTGTATGGTCTTAAATTTATGACATTTTTTCATATCTTTAGAATTTCTGAAAATGTTACTTAACAACAAAACTTGATGTCAGAAAAATACATCTTTAAATTTACCAAAAACTTGATCAAGGGTAAACTTACTGCCTTTGCATTGCAGTGTTACCCTGTCATTCAACTCTTTTAAACCATTGCCACTGGGCTGTGCTTCAATTTGATCAACTCTTTTAAACCATTCCCCTTGGGCTGTGCTTTAATTTGATCAATCAAAATCTAACATTGGATGGGTGAAGCTAGGTGCATGTTGTTAGTTCCACACAAGCTTGTACAGGCTCAGCTAGGACACTAGCAAATGGACTGGGCACTAGCGCTGTCTTTTTCACGCACGGTATCATCAATAACTGGTTACAAACAAACTAACAAACAAGCAAACAGGCATTTACATTGGATTCTTGCAAAATCGTCCAGTGACATGAGGGTAAGATTAAACGAACGGACAAACAAAAACAGACAGAAAACAAACGGAACAACCTGGGATTTTGATGAACGACAAGCTAAGGCACCTGAATGACTGTACCAAAACGCTATACCTTTAAGAAGAGAGAGCCATATTAAGTCAAATCAAAAGATCAAGAATACAGCTTACGGTTGATCAATTCCTAATTTTCTATGTTTCTTTCTGTATTTTAGCATGGGTCGGCGCCATGGCTGCATCCCTCAACTTCTTCTTTGGTCCGCTGACCAGTATTTTGTGTGACCGCTTTGGTTGTCGTCGAGTAGCCTTTGTTGGAGCTGTTCTTTCAGTATCTGGACTTTTTCTTACGTCGCTTGTCACGCGTCTGCATTACATGTACCTCACTTATGGACTCCTTTGGGGGATAGGCTCGAGTTTTTCTTTTGTTCCTTCTATCGTGATGCTGGGAGAGTACTTTGATAAAAGACTGGCTTTAGCAAATGGACTGGGCACTAGCGGAAGTGGAGTAGGCTCATTGGTAGCCTCGCCTGCGATTAACTACTTACTACGGGTTGTTGGATGGAGTAATTCTTTGCGTATACTTAGTGGTGCCGCGGTGTTTCTAGTTGTAGCGTGCTTCCTCTACAAGCCTCACAAAACGAGACAGCGTGACAGGAACGTGACAAAACAATGCAGTCAATTGTGTGACGTTTCCATTTGGAAAAACCGTGCCTATGTAGCTTGGGTTCTAACAGTAGCGCTTTTCCAGTTTGGATATCCAGTCCCTTTCGTCCATTTGGTAAGTTTAATTTGAGGTGGGGGTTTTATTGTTGGGTGATATTATCGGTACCATAGACAGAAAGCTGCCTTGATTCCCGTCTCCCTCCTTACCGCCTAACCATTAAGCACCGCTCTGCCTGTTTACTGTTCGTCAAATCTATCTTGAATTTGTCTCCCTCGGCTTTCCCTCCACTATTACCAAAAAGGCTGTTGGCTGGGTAGGCTACTGTTATATTTTAATAGTTTGGACTGTAAAATGTATTCTACTGTGAAATTGCTAAAAAAAGACAAAGGTGTAAAGATGTTTTCATGATTTTTCGGTCTCAGGTTGAGGGTGGTAATGAGTGTTTTCGTGTGCGGTGAATCGATAGTTTCATTCAAGCCATTTCCATCTCCACTTTCAAGAACAGCTCGTACTATAGTTTTCCTACACGTCAATCCTTCGACTGCAAAACTGACCATTTACACAAAGGCTGTAAGAAGATGCTTTAGCACAATGTTTATCAGTTATTAACCCATGTTATCTCCCTTTCACCAGGTAAAATACGCAGACGATCTTGGTATCCCACCTTCTAAGGGCTCGTGGCTCGTCGGCTTTCTGTCAATCACGTCCACCGTGGGACGAGTGATCTTCGGCAAGCTTTGTGAATTGCGGTGCATCAACAAGATTTACGTGTATCAGTTTTCACTGCTCGCCATAGGACTCAGCACAGTGATCTGTCCGTTCACAGCGAGTTACGCAGGTCTCGTGGCCTATTCTGTTGTGTTTGGGTTTTTCGATGGATGCTTTGTGGGTCAAGTCGCGGTAATCACGGGAGATATCGCGGGCAAGGAGAGACTCTCACAAGCGATAGGCAACATGTTTGGTGTTCTGGCCATACCTATGAGTCTTGGTCCGCCAGTTGCAGGTAAGGACATTAATTCTTGCTCTTAGTGGTCGGAAGTCTAGCTTGTTTACGATTTCTCATGGGTATATGAATTCTCTAGTCGCTTCATGCTACAGAAACCGGAATAAGCTCCGGCCTGATGGGCCACTTGATTCGTATGGCTCTGTTCCCGACGGAGGTCCGGCCCTGCAGTATCTCTGATTGGCAGTTGCTCGGTTGCTTGGCAATTTTGCGCGCAAAAACAACCAATCCGAAATACTACGTGCAGTGCTACGTCATCAAAATTGATTTTCTCGCTTCCAGTCCTCTGTAGGAAAAAGATGGTGGGTGTAAATTTTACGGCAATACAATGCGAGCCTTACACAGCCCATGAAATGCAAGGAAAGCCATATTTTGCATATTGCCTCTGTGCTAACGTCATTGTGTATAATAGGTTTGAAGATTTTAGAAGTTTTCAGTATGCTTTTGTGAGCGTTGTAAAAATTTTCCTGCGCACGGGTAAATGTACCAGTCGCTATACTTTTTTCTTACGGAGGAACCCGGACGTCTGTATCTCAGGGCTTTAAGCGCGCGAAGAGACAACTGTGCTTAATTTAGTCCCAGGCTAACCTGGTGATTTGCAAAGTCTAGTGTTTGCCTTAACGTATTAAGTTAGTGAGAGGCGCGTGGCCTCATAGTTAGTGCACTCGTGTCCGGATCAAGCGGTCCGGGTTCGAGTCCTGACCGGGGACATTATGTTGTGTTCTTGAGCAAGACACTTTGCTCTCACAGTGCCTCTGTCCACCCAGGTGTATGAATGGGTACCTGGGGCCCGTTTCAGGAAAGCCCCGGAAAGCCATTTTTAGTTAATCGGTATTTAAAAACAGACAGGTGTATACGCCTGAAACTTCTTGTATAAAGAGAACCTCTGTTAGTATTAAGAATATATGAATAAAATAGCTCTGTAGTCAAAAGGTTTGAGATTTTGCTATTGCTTTTCGGTGCGAAAACTTTTCGGAACCTTCGAGAAACGGGCCTCTGCAAACTTAATGCAGGGGGTAACCCTGCGATGGACTAGCATCCCATCCAGTGGGAGTAGAAATACTCCTAGTCGCCTCATGCTACAGAAACCGGGATAAGCTCCGGGATAAGCTCCGTCTGCAGACTTAACTTCCACCTAAACGTATTTAGTGCGGATCTATTTTTGTTTTTCACAGGCTGGCTTTACGAATCCTCGGGCTCTTACCATCAAGCCTTCTTTGTGTGCGGTGGTGTGGCCATTGTTTCATCTCTCTTCGTTTTTATCGTGTCTCACTTGGATCGAAATCAAAGGCGACGTTGCACCCTCCGAAAACGCTTAAGTAAAACAGCCGACCCAAGCGCCGCCTGTGTATGCGAAGAGAGTGTGGAAACCGGAAGTGAAATGTCTGCCTTGGTAGAAATGATTTCCCGTGAAGTGCTCATCGTCACGGACAAAGAAACTGTGTTATAGTTGATAGATTGCGTGACAAGCTGAACTAACCGCCACTTCGGTACAGATGCGTAAAACTGTCTTCATCAACTTTAATTTTTTCAAGTAATAATTTTTTCTTCCTCTCTTTATTGATGTTTTAAATGCTTGGCGTATTAGCAAAGAGAGATTTCTGTCTCTAGGACTTACTCGGCTGGATTGAAGTGAGGGAGGGTGGTGTGGGGTGGAATTTCATGCGTTTTACCTGTGATAAGAATTGCGCATGTGTTGCCAGCGTAAGTAAACATTGTACGCTAAATAAGAAAATAATAGGTTAAGATTAGATCGGAAACAAAATTGAAGAAAAGGAAAAGAGTTTTTAACAAAGTTATCGTGGGTAGGGAGTCTAACGAGATAATTGTCCGCTATTTCAAGCGTACACTTCTTTATAGAAAAAAACATATGCGTTGTTATATTTTGAGAATCATATTTTTTTATGGTTGGTATTTTTCTACTTGTGTAATATGGGCCGTTTTATTTACATTTATAAACTTATGCGGCGATGATATATCGTTAATTATTTATTGATGGTGTATAATAATATATCAATATCTGGGAGTGGCTTGCGGACCACATTGGAACTGGCTATGTACGTTTAACAAAGATTAATTTATGTTTATATTATATGGGAATTTTTAGTCATAACAGTTATTTAAGTATAATATAACAGAGAAATTTAAGAATTTACTTCTGCCATATACATTTAATTTAATGCAACTGGTATTTCGTACTAATCTCGTATATTTAAAGACGACTTACGTATTTAAAATTGCTAAATTAAATTTGTTTGGAAGACGTAACTATATAATGATTATGGAATAATTATCAAACTAGAAATTTAAAGGTAAACAAGAATGTTGAAACATTGGGGATAATTTGGTTTGCGGAAGGCAACAAGAATCGCAGAAAGGACTCTTTCTACTTCTCTTTCATTATTCAGCTAACTTCAACTCCAACTTCAACTGATCTGAACTGCGAGCAAATGAACCCTTTCTTACATACTCTATCCCTGGGCATGTGTGGTCACACGGGACAACTGACCTTGAAGGATCAGACACTAACCAAAACAGACAAACCTGTTAGAACATGAAGCAAAACTCTTTCACACGACTTTAGCTTTCAGAAGCAGACTACCGAAAGCTCTTCAGTGAAATAATTAATAGACATTAAAATTCGGAGAATAAAACCAAAACAGGGTCGTCCTTGGGAGATCCAGACCAAGGCCGGTAGACGAACCCAAACACGACCCGTGATTGTTCAGAGCTAAGAGCTCGCAATACTGAAACTAAGCGGAAAAAACAACTTAACCCTTGAATACCAACTAGGCATATATGCGTAATTAATGTTCTTTGTAACATCTGTGACGTCATCAATTTCAATGTCATCAGATATTTTGGCTCATGCGCATGCCCGGAATTGAAATTTTGCTCAATTTTGTACCTAATCCCCGAAAAATCTCTCCTTTTAGTAAAAAAAAAGCTTTTTTTTAGCAAAACTTAGGCTTATTTAGCGTCATGGCAGCTAAAAACCTGACTAAACGGTTAAAAACGGTATTTTTTGGCGAAAGTTTGGTATTCAAAGGGTTAAAGAAAAGCACAAATTTTCTCTAAAACTTTCTTTTTCGCCATAGATCGGTCCAATTGACCATTCTGTCTCTAACGAGCAAAATTTAGCTCGATGAAGGATTTCATAAATTTTTGGTTAAGGTTACGAGACATTTTTCGGACTGTCGGGTGTCCTTGTAAATCACAAGACTCCCACCGTAGATACATAAAGAAAACAAATTGAAGATCATGTCCTAACATAACTTGATTCTACAAACAATGTTAAGCTTCAGAATAAAGAACTGGAAGCAATGATTGTTTGGAGAGGTATCATTATTGACAGCTAACCATGAGTAAGCTAACCTGAACATTAGCCTAACTGGAGCGTTATTCAGACAAACCAGTGAGCTATTGCGGCTAAACGGAGAGCTTTTCAGGTCTAGTAATCTACTTTAAAAAGGACAGGCAAGCACGGGCAGACAAATGCTGGCTATAACGAGTTTTCAAGATGTTACATGTAAAGACATTGTCATCGAAGACTTTCTCCTACAAATATAATCAGTCTAAAAGTATGATCATTACCTCCTGACCAGTTCGAGTTCTTCGATCGAGTGCAACCCTAAAAGATATCTTACCGGCTAAAAGACGTTTAGTCCTGAACACTGTATGTGAGACCAAAATCCGTTACTTACATGCACCCCGATGCCAAACGACGACTATCCCCGACCTTTTCCCATGGGAGCTCCCCCGGGTATTCTGGCAAACGAAGCGTTGATGCTGCTTACCCGAAGTACTATTTGGACTCGACTGAAACTCCTTACAGGCTTACTGAAATGGTATTTAGAATATAAACGAAATTCGATTTAGGCTAAGCGCTGAGGCTATTTAGAGTAACCGAAGTGCATTGTGATCAGAGTCAGTTATTCACTCTTCGACCATCCTTTGAAGAAAAGTGTTGGTTACACTGTACTTTTGTTTTAGTCGCATGTACGTACCGGTATTACGTGCCTATCTTTGTTGCTTTTACATTTCATGTAATAATTTTTGAAAGCTTTACAGTGCTACACCTGCATGTACTGCCATGGCAATAAAAAAAATAATGGCACCGTAAATCAAGTAAAAATATATTTCTTTCCACAAAATTGACCGTGAACCAGCACTGGAAAGAAATCACTTCCACTGGAAAAAAATAACACTGACAAAACAAACAAAACAGCTCCTAGCCTGTCTCTCGGAACTGGAATTTGAACTGCAAGTACATACATGTACGTCACAATACGCAACCGAGCTCATCTTTATATACATTTTGTGATCAGATTGAGGGCAAATCTCTTTGAGCTTCAGTCGCAAAAAGCCTCCAAAAGTGAACTGTCTTTCTCTGAGAGATTCTTCATTCCTATTCACAAGAATAGCTATGGCCACAAAAGCATCATGAGCAAGTGTGGTCAAATGTTGGAATCCAAAAGTCCCCCCTCTCTCCCGCTCCCCCCCGGGTGGTCACACATTGAGAGCAAGGGTCATGTTTTTTCTAAGACTACGATTGATTTATCCAAAAACATGTGACAAAAACATGTAAAACCGTGCTCTGTGCTACGACAGGCGACAATAAAACTCTGTCAATTTCAGTATTTCCTCATGACAAATGCACTGAAGTAGGTTCTTTTGCAACCATATTTGGGCTCAAAGCATGCCCGTGTCGTCACCGTCGTCACGCAACGCTTCAAACGAGAAGAAATTTGCATACAATCTATATTTTCGCGCGCCTCTGAAGCTATGCAAGTTTCAAGTTATCAATACTTAAAGTTTCTTTTTTTTTTTAAATTCTGAAATCTCAGATCCAGATCTGCTAAACTGAACAACGTTTCGGTTACAGAACAGGTCATTTTGTGCAATGAAGGACAAGAGCGAAGCAGAAGTTGTCTTGCGCGACGCGAAGCCAGATGGAGGGTACGGATGGATTGTATGTTGTGGAACTTTCATCGTTAATTTTGTGGTGTTTGGGATCCACAACTCGTTTGGCGTTGTGTACGTTAATCTACTGGATGATTTAGACCTTGGAGAGATGCAAACTGGTAAGCGATTATGGTGCGAGCTTCTGTAAAATTAGGTAAATTTTGTTGTGTACGTGATCAATTGTCTATAATATGACCGACAACACTTTTTCATGTCAATCGCATTCGATGAATCTTCTTTTGTTTTAAAAAGTTTTCCTATGGCGCGTGCTGAACTTCTCAGCAATGCAGATTTATTGATGAATAATACGTTCTAGCTGTTTTACAATTTAACTTATATTCCCTTTCAGAAAGTGAGTGTGACTTGTCAAGTAACCAGAGAAAGTTTACTTAACAAAAATTAATATTAATTATAGTGTAATGAGTTTGGGTTGCATCATCCCATTTTAATATTGTTAGTGTGACCTTTGATACTCTGATTATTATAAAGATTTACTTGGGCCCCATATGAATTTTTGATACAGTGATCTGTTATGCCAAGTACTTGCATGCAGATCTCATTCTTTGCACCGAAGACTCAGAGCTACTTTGTCTCGCATTTTACTAACCAATAGATCTCAAGATGATCTTGTAATGTGATAGAAGAGCAAATGAATTTCAGCTTCAAAAATCAACAAAGCATGAAGTAAACATTCCTAATTTTCTTTTATTACTTGCCCTAACTGCTTTGTGTCTACCCTTAAATAGGTTTAGGTCTGAAAGTTGATTTTTAATGTATGTCCCTTGAAATTTCAGTTTTTTTTTTCATATCATTAATTAAATTTTATTGTTTCCTTTGTGACATTTGTATACAGTAATCTGTATAGTGAATAGTGGAGAGAGGGCAGAGTAGTGGGGATAAGAGAGGGAAAGAGGCCCTGAGAGAAGAGAGGGGGAGGGGAGGGGGATGAAGAGAGAGGGAGAGGAAGAGGGTGAAGAGAGGGGGAGAGGGGGGAGGGCTGAAGAGAGGGGAAGAGGAGGTGAAGATGAGGGGGTAAAGAGAAGGGGAGAGGAGGGGGAAGAGAGGGGTAAAGAGAGGGGAGAGGAGGGGGACAAAAGAGGAGTAAAGAGAGGAGGAGAGAAGGGGGAGAAGAGAGGGGGAGAGGAAGGGGAGAAGAGGGACTGAAAGGGGAAGGGCAGTAGGGATGAAATAATTGGAAGGACCTTCCCAGATTTAATCATACTTTGATCTTTTTAGTGAAACAATTTACTATTATAATTGTTTTCTTGCTCACAGCATGGATTGGTGCAATGGCAATGGGCTTAAATTTCTTCTTTGGTCCAATAACAAGTGCTCTGTGTGACCGTTTCGGATGCCGTATTGTGTCCTTTGCTGGAGCATTATTGTCTGTTCTAGGGCTGTTTCTAACATCCTTCATACAAGAAGTTAATAAAATGTATGTGACCTATGGCTTGGTCTGGGGGATAGGCTCCAGCTTTGCCTTTGTGTCATCAATTGTTGTTCTTGGACAGTACTTTGACAGGAAATTGGCCCTGGCCAATGGAATTGCAACATCAGGAAGTGGAGTTGGCTCGCTTGTGGCAGGACCAGTCATAAATTATTTATTACAGACAGTCGGATGGAAAAATTCCATGCGTATTCTAAGTGCCATTGCTTTGTTGTTATGGATTGCTGCACTGTTTTTCAAACCAAGGGAAAGTCATCAGGATATCATGGAAAGGAAGATGAATTCCAAGCTATTTGATACATCAATATGGAAGAATAAAGCTTATGTCTTATGGGTTTCTACTGTAGCTTTGTTCCAGTTTGGTTATCTTGTTCCATTTGTTCACTTGGTAAGTCATACATTTACAATATTCCTATCTTGCCAGAGGTTATCCTACATAATGTAATGTAACATAATGTAACATAACATAACGTAATGTAACGTAATGTAACATAACACAACACTTTTCTGTCTTTATTTAACCAGGGAGGTATAAATCCTGGTTTCAATAGGACTCAATGATGACAAGTATTTCCACTTGCTCTGTAAGTCTTAGAGGAGTGTCAGGGATACCCTTAGCATTAAATTGCCAATATAGCAGACACTCCTTTAAGCAGATACCCTTGCTGCCAGAAAAAGAGTTTTTTTGGGACAGGTGTCTGTTTATGGTTGGTTACAAATGTAGCGTTTGTGTGTGGCTGGCACCGTGAACAAGTGTCCACTACAGGTGGTGTTTGTCGGCAGAAGGCTTGATCGTACCATGCTACACACCTGGGTAGTCTGAGCAGTGTATTCCAAGAGGGAAATGTTTTGCCCAAGAGCACGGTTTAATTTTTGTCACCAGTGTTTAAACCGGCATCAAATAATCCAAAGTCCAGCACATTAACCATTAGGCCAGTGTGCCTGTCCAAGGTGAGAGGTGTACATCTCTAGTAGGCTACAAATGTATATGGGTCGCCGGTCTGTTCCACACTGAATAGTGGTCTGGGTTCTAGCTCCTCTCAGGGTTGTCATGTTGTGTTTTTGAGTGAGATTTCTTTCATAGGGCCACCCTTGAAAAAGGGCATAATCTGCAACAGATCACCAAGGCATTTACCATCAGGGGTGCAACTGGTGGCGGGGGGGAGGGGGGAGGGTGGCCTGCAATACTGGAACATTCAATTGCCCCTAAAACAAACACTTATGTATCTTGCAGCCCATACTATTTGCCTTAGAGGGTGTCTGCCTTGGCAGGAACATAACAGAGATATACTAGTGGATTAGTTTTAGCACGTTGTAAATAAAAAATTAGGGAAATTCTCAAGGTGTTTGAATCCATAAATGCACTCCGTAACACAAAGTAACTAGAACTGTAGATCTATAGTGAGACATTTCCCAGGTGTTTTACATTTATACAATCAACTCTTGTTATAGCGGACATCCTCGGGACCGTCATTTGGTGTTCATAATAGCGAGAGTATGCAACAGCAGGGAGTGATGAAAAGTAGCCTTTATTTGTGGGTTTTGAAGTTTCACATATCCAACGATTCCGCAATAGTGGGAGTCCGTATTTTGTGGTTTCAACCGGAGATTTAGCCTGTTCCAGGCTCACGGTCAGTGGCGACGTTCGAAAAAGCGGGCGCGGGACGAGTATGTCCATAATAGCGGGATGTTCATAATAGCCATGGGTGTGTCCGCAAGGCGAGAGTTGACTGTAGTTGTTTTGGAGTTCCAAAGTTCCCTAAAAGTAAACAATTTGTTTTTGTTTTTTTATTTCTAGGTGAAATATGCTGAGGATCTGGGAGTGCCAAAGTCTCAAGGAGCTTGGCTAATTGGATTTCTTTCTATCACCTCGACCGTTGGACGGGTGTTTTTCGGCAAGATATCAGATCTCAAATTCGTCAACAGATTATACATGTACCAGTTTTCGATTTTCGCTATTGGATTAACAACCCTTCTGTGTCCTCTGACTAGTAACTATGCAGGTCTTGTCAGCTACGCGTTGATATTTGGATTTTTCGATGGATGTTTCGTGGGTCAGGTTGCTGTGATCACTGCTGATGTAGTTGGCCACGAGAAGCTCTCTCAAGCGGTCGGAAACATGTTTGGAACGCTGGCGATACCCATGAGCCTGGGGCCCCCTCTTGCAGGTAAATCAAACCCTGTGGGGGGTTTAAAGGGAATTGAAAGAGCTTTGTCCCTCCCCCTCCTATTTCCCCCATTAAACTGCCTGCCCTTCTCTAAGTTACAAGAAGTACCAGTGCAGTTTTCTAAAAAGAAATTTCAATAGATTAAAATCGTGTTGTTTAACCCTCCAATACAAGTTAAGACGAAAACTTTTTACTTCTGCGATACCTTTGTGCAAAGTTGCAATTGGTGGTAAAGAAGCGTGAGACCAGTCACGCAACTTATGGCCTGCGTGACAGGTGTTTAGAGGGAAGGATGAGGGGGAAACGAGAGGCACGAAGCGTAAACTTACTATATTATTTCCAAACTTGACCAAACTTAGTGTAAGTCTTGTTGTTGTAACTAAGTTACTTGGAGAAAGTGTAACATGCCTGCTTGACTTGGGTACATGTAGCTGACAATAAAAAAATATTACTGGCTTTCAAGGAAGATAGTGGATCAATGAACGTTCAGCTAACTAGAGCGAAATGTATAGTTGACGTTTTGGTCTCACAGAAATCTTCGTTATATTTCAGGTTGGTTACATGAAGGATTTGGCTCGTATGATGGGGCATTTTATATCGCTGGTTCTGTGGCCGTATTTTCCTCTCTGCTGCTCTTTGGTGTCGACCGCATGATACGAAGTCAGTTTAAAGCAAGCAGGCTTGTCGAGCACAGAGAGACCAAGAACAACGCTTCGTTGATTAGTGGTGATAATGATAATTCCTCGCCTTACGACTATGGTTATAAGGACACGGAGTCCCAACCGATGTTAGAAGATGAATGTTCTAGTACACATTTTAACCGGCTGAAAATTAGCGAGTTTCTCATGTTTAGTGACAGAGAAACTGTTTTGTAGCAAAGAGTTGGAATAACTTATCGAATCACTTACATCTCCAGTAGAGGTTAGGCGCGTTAACACTACGCTGGAGGAATTTGAAAACGGAGCTTTATTTCTCCCGTAAGGCCTGTCGTCCACACTAATCCGTCACGAAAACGGAGCTTTTCGAAAACGCTCTTCAAACCGGAGGAATTTGACAACGCCAACTTTGCGTTTTCGTGTGGACAGAAAACGTTTTGAAAAGGGAGCTTTTCGAAAACATTGACGTCGCGATAATCATGTGATTTTATATTCCTGGCCTAGTTTTCTTCAACCACAAACCCAAAATGACGAGCGATTATTGCGTTTTCAAATTTCTCCGGCGTAGTGTGAACGGAAAAAATTTGATGCATTTTCAGAGTGAGAGCTCCGTTTTCAAATTTCTCCGCTGGAAGGGGCCTTAGTTTTTCAATAAAGTTTTAAACATATAGAATTATGAAAATGTAACTTGTATTCACCGTAGNAAAAAAAAAAAAAAAAAAAAGTTACAAGGCAATTTATTGGGTGGGTTCACCGTTTATAGATATTTAAAATCTTTTAAAGGATATACGTACATTTTTTACTTGGTAAAAAAAAAAAAATTAAAAAGTCGAATATTAATTATTTAAGTAAGTTTAAAAGATCAGAGTATAAAAATACGCATCGTTTGCTAAGACCATTTTTAAGAACCTTATGAGTTTATAGTTTCACTCGTCTAGAAATATTGAAACGGAAATTACAAACCTACGTATATGGTAAGCCATTTCTAATTTGCTTGTACCTCTGTTTCAAAAGGAGTCTTGATGCACAACNGGGGGGGGGGGGATGGTACTCCCCTATATGGGCTATATAGGTATGTTCGCCCTAAGGGGTAGGGTTTTGCAGCCGTTTTGGTCATAAATAGGGTATCGATTTTGGCCATTTTGGTCATAAATAAGGCATGGTTTTTGCACTCTGGTCTTGAATTGGGTATGTTTCTTAGAAGAAGCTACTTTTTCATCATTATCAATAAGACCGTCAACAAAAGCCCTTCATAACTTATGTTTACGACAACTGTTTCAGCCGCAACGGACATAAATCGGCTATCGAATTTTTGGTCAGGCCATACATAGGTTGGGAAAAAAACGCAGATTTTGGTCATAAATAGGGTAAGGGTTTTGGGAAGCGGGCCGCACACCCCACCCAACTTTTCCGGAAGTACCCCCTCCCTCGGGTGCAAATCAAACTCATTTCCATATGAAAGGTCGTGTACCAGGACTCGTTTTGAAACAGAGGTAGAAAAATGGCTTATCAGTAATGTAGCTCACCCCGATTTTTCGTAGCACTGAAAATTTTTTTTCTAGGTATTGTACGTTTAGAACTGAGAAATAAACTATCAAAATTGAATGGCGTGATACTCAGTAAGCGCATTAGAGGTTTGTCATTATAACACTGTTCTCCATACCAGACCGTCAAAATGATTTTTGTTATGCAGATGTGTAGCAACCGAAATTGTTTCTAGCAATGTTGCCAAATTAGCATTGTTTTTTTTCTGTTAGTTTCTACCTTGAAACATTGCGCGTAATTTTACTAATAATCTCAATGTGTATTTACCAATTGCAACTAGGCCTTTCGACAAATTTCACGAAAAATCGCCAAAATATCTTTCCGGAAATTCCAACAAAATTTTCTGGCTGGCTGGCTGGCTGGCTGGCTGAATAAATGAATAAATGAATAAATGAATAAATAAATAAAAATAATGATATTGAATCACTTAGGCTAAAATTTTCAAACTTTTCTTGTAGGAGTAGGAGTTGAGGAAGAAGATTCTGACAGGCGCTTCAATTTTGTTAGCATCCGCCATTTTGGAAAATTGTCGCTTTAGCGCTTTTAGTCTGGAATACATTCTTCAAGTGGAATTTCGCTGACTGGATTGTTTGTGGCGTAGAGCGGACTATTGTTTCAAGAAAATTGCGAGGAAAACACAGGGCTTGCCTTCCATAAATTTCATATATTTGTCATGGCCCAACATATTTATTAAAAATAATATAAATTGAATAACAATGCCAAATGTGGCGCTTCATAAGTATTTCTAAATATCCCCAAAATTTAGCTAATTTTCTGCCAAATATCCTAATATTTTCTAAATTTCTCGGAAACTTCTAAATATCCCTTAAAATATCCGAAACATTGTGGCGATTGACGCAAGTAACTTAGAACCAAGCTGTAGCCAGCTGAAAAATCGTTCTTACTGTGATTAGTATTGTATACGATATTGCACCCAAAGTTTGAACAGTTTAATTTGCAGCTTGTGGTAACATTCATGATCATCCAGGTGAAAATGAAAGACAATATCAGAATACTGTGTTCAAGAACTGATGTGTCTTTTTTTCTATTAAATAAATGTGCACGTTAGATGAAATGCAAATGCGGCATTATAGTACGGTCTCCGAACTGAAGAAGCTTCAAGGCATAACGAGTAGAACGATCGCGTGACAAATCGATGCAAAACACATTCGTGGGAGCCAGTGACAGAAATTAAATCGAGCAGAGTTGCTGGAAGAAATCGCACAAGAGGATCGAGCAACTGGAGCAAAGCTTGACGAACAGACTGAAAGGAAAGAGATGCAAGCAAATTATTTGCGCTAAATACACCTTCAAATAAAGTGTAGTCCTAAGCAAAACAAATTAATATTATGTCAAGCATTTGCAAATACGACATCTGGTAAAGAAAAAAGGAAAAAGATAAACAAATCGAACAAACCGAAAAAAACACGAAGGATTCCGCTTCAGGCTAATAAAACCGAGAGAAGTAATTGATTGAATTGTTTTTATCGCGATCCGTAAAGAGGAAAAGGATCCGTGAGTTTCTGTTAGTTTCAATTTTAGGAGAAACCATACATAGCAAATGTTTTTGTTATCAGCGGTTTTTGTGTACAAACAAGCAGCGTAACGACATCCCGTTTCTATGCACAACGTTATGCTTTTCGCAGCATTTTATTAGCATTTTGCTCATGATGGAGATTTATTTGTCAGGTACGGTGTGTAGGTGACAATTTTAAGTACTATCGAGCAATGCAAGTGTTACACGAGCCATGAAGCAACGAAGAGAGGATCAATGTCAAGCAGCTTCAGGGGTGAGGCGTGCGAGGAAGCTCTCTGAATGACATTTGCGTACGGGATTTAATTTTTCTCACAGTTCTCACGGAACCGACTTGGAAGCTTTGAGCACGCCTCATCTTGTTGCGCAGTTACTTTACTAAGATCATTTTAAAACAGAAAGGGACAGACAGGAGAATTTCAAACCGGCAAGCTGGGTTGTTCAGGCTCGAGCACCGCGAAATCAGCGGCTTCAGACCGAAACATGCAGGCACGTGATGACGAAAACGACAACAACTCGTCCGCCATGACAGCTCCGAAGATCAACTTCCCGGCGGAAAATTCGCCTCAGAGAGCGAATTCGGCGGGCTCTTTTAACATCAGAGCCAAAGTTGTCCCTCTAAAGCCGGGAAGAAGTTTGATGGACTGGATCCGGCTCGGAAAAAGTGGACAAGACTTAGCGGGAACCGGTGGAATTACAAAAACTGTCACTGTAGAAGAACTAAGCAAACATAACACAGAACACGATGCTTGGATCAGCATTCGAGGTTGTTAAAGTATTTTATTTCGCTTTGCTCTTTGTTAGATTTTGTTAGCTAAGCATCACGTTTTTCTCATAGGAAGAGATTCTTAGTATAAAATCGGCCGGGGGAAGAATGTAGACAAAACAAGCCTACACCTTCGAGATCGATCTGCTCGATAGCCTCTGGTCGCATTCACAATGCATAAGTTAAAAACTAGTATTTTCACTTTATTTGTCCCTGGTTGTGGACGGCGGCCGATGAAGCGATCAAGCGGTTGTGAGCAGAGTCTCCCACTGAGCAGAAACAGAGCCAAAGTTGAGAATCTCTGTCTTGCAGGGTGAAAACAAGCCCTGCCAATACTCTTATTATTTGTATATTCCAAGGTCAAAACTAACCTTAAATGACCTTAATCTATAATTTCGTTGTGGAAGGTTTCTTTCATCGCTTCACGTTCCGTATAAATTTGTTTGTACAGGGTTACACTGGACATGATCTGCATCATTTCACTAGGGAGGTCATGTAGCAGCCCTCGTAAGGTCTCACGCGAATGGCTCGATACCCGTTGAGAAAACAATAGAACAAACAACAGAAGCAATTTACCTCGCCCCAAAACAGTAACAGCTGCTACACTATGACGACAAATAGAATAGTTGCAAGCTTACGAGAGTTACTACATTTCTGATTAGGGATGCTGATATTTACATTCATACTATGCCATAGAAAATTCAGCCAATCAGAATACAGGAATGCAATTATATATTTGTTGGTATTACACTCAATCTTCACACCGCACACTGTGCAAATGTCAATAATTTAATAAATACTAATACTAATACTAATACTACTACTAATAACGATAACGATAACGATAACGATAATAATAATAATAATAATAATAATAATAATAATAATAACTTTATTGTTGAGTGTATTGGCTGCTGAATTTTTTATGACGGTGTATACTGTAGACATATTATATGGCAGCACAAAGATATGAATTTAATTTTCACGTGGTGAAATATTGCATTTAACACAAGAAAATATAATTGATATCTTCAAGCCACTGTGTAATCCTCTTTCTATGATATAGACAGACAGACTGTTTGCACAAACAACCATGAAAAAGCAAGAAAATACATTGAAGCATATCGGCAAGAATGCAGACTGTACAGATGCACAGCTTGAGGCAAATAGGCAACACCAGTTTATATGGCTGACACAACACCACTTTATCTGCTAAGCAGCTTGGGTGCATAAAAGATGATGCAACTTCTGGTTACCTGAATATGTTACATAATTAATATCCTTGTTAATGAGGGTATGGAAAATACGCCACTCGAGTCCCAGATGTAGTTTCTCATGAATTTTATGAGTAGTGTATTTTCCATAAAAGACTGATATCTATATAATAAAAAACAGTGAAGGCTTTGGTGTATGCTGAGGGAGTAGTAACTGAGTAGAACCACCTTTCTTTTATTGTCTCTCATTTCTGTTACTTAACATGCTGAAGAACATCAGTTCTACTAAATTGGAGGCTTTACTGTTCATCTCAGCTTTGTATTTTAAAAGCTGGGATTGGGCTTTTGCCAAGGAAAGATAACAAAATGTAAAATTATAAACTTTATTGCCGCCTGTCTCAGACTTCCAGATTGTGAGGCAGGATGGGACAGGAGGCAAGTGAAAAATGACACTAATTAAAGCATTTATAATCATAATCATATTCATAAGTTTCTGATAATTGAATGTATTTTTATTTTATACCATTGTAGGTAGAGTATACAATGTGACACCTTACTTAGAGTATCACCCTGGAGGTATTCCAGAGCTGATGAGAGGGATAGGGAGAGATGCCACTGATCTGTTTGATGAGGTGAGTAGTTAGGTGCTGTTGATACGTGTATGGGGGTACATGACCCACGTTTGGGGGTGGTTTTGAAACCCTGACTGTGTTAAGGACAAAGGAACCCCAAATCACCACCTTGTGTAAGACAACATCCTCTATGCTAGGACATGATTTAGGACAGAGGATGAACCGTACATTACTATCTGGTATCCAAATTATCTGCTGTGTACTGATAACATGCAAAAAACCGGTGATCATTTCTGATCTATCAGCAAAAGCAATTGGGTAACCATACTTCTGTTTCCAACAGATTCAGACTCTCTTTAGGATAGACTCAAAAACATTTGTACCCTGATTAAACCCATACTCTGCTGAGGGTTGGGTTTTGTTAAGAAAAGGCCCATTATAGTCCAGTGGTTCAGGGCCTTAAAGTGGGCCACTTATCTGCTTTCAGTAAAACCGGTCCAGAGGCATGTCCCTACATAGACCACATAGCATGCAGAGTACCCAACCCCGCTCCCCGCAGCCCTGGAGCCAAATGATATTTAGCAATTTAAGCAATTGTCAAGTGGTTAGGGTACTGACCGTGTGTTCAAGTCCTGTTCTGACCACTAACTGGTGTTGTTCTCGGTAGTCCCTGAGTTCAACTCCTAATGGACACCCTTATAAAATAATAACCAACCACTTTGCCTTCTACAATTCGGGATTGTTTATAACCATGCTGTTATGTTCCTTTACATTATTTGTTTCATCGTCTGTTTCCATTGGCCCTAAAAAGCCCTACCATGGCACGGTAGTCCAAGGCCTTAAAGTGGACCTTTGGCCACTCATCTGCTTTCAGTAAAACCTGTTCAGAGACACTTCCCTTTGTACTAGCAGGGGATTCATTAGGTGCCAGGCACTGGGCAAATTGACCAGCTGTGAGGATGATTTCGCCTGCCTGATTTGACCATCTAAAGGAAAGTTTTTCTTGCAAAGAAGTCCAGTTCAAAAGCTTTTGTCTGCTTGTGAAAAGCATTTTCCCCCTGCTAAAAACATTAATAAATCCTCTGCACTAGTCCATATGACATGCATAGTATCCCCCACTCCACCCTGGAGCCAAATGACATTTAGCAACTGAAGGACTTTTTAAGAAACTATTAATAGTTGATAATACTGCAACAAAAAGTCCCATTCAGCACCAAATGGTTAATTTAGGCAACCTTCTCCCTTACATGTACACACTGGTTATCCACTTGAACATCAAATTCCCTGTCACTGTGTAATATCCTCAATGTATGGTCTTGTACATTACAGACACATAAGTGGGTAAATGCGGAGTCAATGCTGGAAAAATGTTTTATTGGTCCTCTTAAAAGAAACAGTGTGGTCAAGATGAAACCTTCCAGAAGCGGTATGTTTAATGATTATGCCTTTTCATGTCTGTGGTGCACCTTAAGTGGCTTTTGATGCTTGATCTGACAGTGTTTAAATTCTCTTTGAGAATCATTCATTATGTCTGGCACTTGGCTGTTTTGTAGATCTCAATGATTTTTAGATAGATCTCACAGCAGGGTTGTTAATTTAAGTAGCTGGCAGTGGCCAAAAATTGCCATTTTACTTCATGATCTTGGCCAGGTATTTTGAAGCCTATGGTGCATGTCCTTCAAAACATTGTGACAATCCTGCACAGGGCAGCTTCCTAAACAGTTAGCCAGGCTATCCAAGAGGTCATAAGTTTTATTTAGACCCGAAGTGCTAAGTTTTCTGTAAAGTTCTGTGAAAATCACTTCTCGTCATTGTACACACAATGTACATTTGGGACAGAGTCATACATGTATCTGTGTGTTCTACATTTTCCTGGAGATAAGATTTGCCAAGCTAACCAAAATGTCTGTTTTATTTTATTTGAAGGATCAGGAAAGTCGTTGAATGTTTCAACAGGATCTTTGAAGTCTCACAACAGTCTGTTTGTTCCCGGGGCACAACAAGGTAAGGATCTTATCTGTTTCATTTACCAGTGTATTGTGTAATTTTCTGATGATTGGCTCCCTTAAAATTGTTAGAAGCATAGGTAAAAATCTAGTTTAGACTGTGTTTTGGGGTGTAAATTGGGGAAAAATATAGCTTCAATGTTCTCTTTTTCTTTTCCAGTTGATGGATTTGCTGTTCCAGTTCCTCCACAAAACAAACAAGACCCAAGGTCAGAAACTAATTAATAGAAATCTTAATATTACAGATAGCAATAATTTTAATGTTCAGTCATTGAGTCCCAATATTGATATTATTTGTCACTTCCATGTTGAAATTATCTTTTTTTACGATAACTGCAGAAATTCTCACGTGCTCATTGGCTAATTTTCATTGTCAATAAGCGGACAGACACATGAATTTATAATTCATGCAATGCGTCAATGAGCGAGAGCGGACAATTTGAGAATTTGTTATCGTAAAAAACAAATTGATGTCAGTTTTTCATGCGTTTGTCCTGTTACTGACAATGAATTTCGTCATAACATTGTCAAAGTAGTCTGCGTATCCACTCGGCTATTGCCTCGTGGATCCATAATGTTGTTTGACAATGTTATGATGAAATTCATGATCAATAACAGGACAGACGCATGAAAAACTGACATCAATTTGTTAAACTGACACTGTGAAACTCAGAAGTAGTTATGGAATGTTATTGTGTAATAAGGAAAAAGTTAATTAGGTGTGAAAAACTAAATCACAAACAGCAATAGAAATTAGTTTGTGGTTTTGAGGTTTCCTTGTGTGTCCTGAACTTTATTATGATTGGTCAGTTCACTAATGACCTGTCTGAATCGAATCAACATGTTCATAAGTGATTTTCTGAATTCTAGCTAATTTTTTTCACAGTAATTAAATACAGTTTTTTTAAATTAATACCACAGTATCTGCGGTCCCACAGTCAGCATATAAAATATACTGTATTTTGATCAGTTTTTTTATCATGTTGCTTATTTTTGTTTCTGTTCTAGCTATGATTGGTACCAGAATGACAAAATAGTTACAATATCAGTTTACACCAGGAAAAAGGTTTGTTTTAGATAAAACTGGTGATTTGTCTAGAGCTGAAATAGAGTAAAATTTGAAAACAAAACGAAAAAAGCAAGCCTGGGAAATAGGAATAAGTCATTGGACAGGGGTAATTTGATTGGTGGAATGTTATATTAATAATTATGTTATAAAGCTTGATGAATTTTGCAATTGTGTCTTACAGGATTTTAAAGCAGAAGATGCCATACTAGAATTAAAAGATGGAAAAGACTTTGATGCTATATTCATTTTAGGAGAAAAAAGCTTTCGAGTACATTTAGGTACGGTAATGTCTTCCTTTTTCTTCATTAATTCTTGCTTGAATAATTAACTGACTGATTTATAGTTATAGGTCATTGCAGGGCTGCAAATAACAGGCGGTCATCAGACACTGGCCGACCAAAATTTTCTCGTGAAATGAAATCCCAATTGTGGTCGGACATGACGTCCCGACAATTTTTTTTCTATCGTAAATCATTTTACGGTAAGGACGAATAAAAAATCTACTGTGAGTAAATCTTACTTTTTTTGGTGATGTCCGGCCACAATTTGTTTTGTCTGACCAAGATGACGTCTTCGCAGGACATATGTCCTTTCAAGAGAAAAAATTCTTTGCAGCCCTGCATTGTTATTAGTCAGTGTCTTATTGAAAGTAGCCTCAATTTGTGTTTACCTTTCCCTAAAATCGATCTGCATTTATGGACTCAGTATGGCCTGTAGCCACATGTTATACTTCTGAACGTAATATTCCACTCTCTTAGGAATCTCTTCTTCAAGGAAAACAAGGATTGTTGAAAGAGAGTGTTACAAGGGCGGTACATTCCCTGCATAGCTAGTTTACTTAATATTTGCTTTCTTGTCAGTTGGGAAATTGAACTCACGTTCCTTTAAATCAATGATGGATTTGTGCTATACCAGCACCTGCCATTTTTGCCATCATTGAAAAGGTGGCGTTAATTCTTCATTTAAATTGACCAAGACTGCAGTCTCGGTTTGAATATGACTAAATACATGTAAACAACCCCTTCCTCTCTGAATCAATAATGAATTTATGCTAAATTTTGACCATTGTGATGACGCATATCGTTGTCGATAAGAGTACAGACAATGCTAAACCACATTCGATTTGTTTTTTACCACAAAATCAACGTCAAAGAAAATTTCTTTTTCAGAGCGTGACCATGAGCGTGATACATTGACGCGAGCAGCATTGTCTGGACTCTTATCGACAACGGCAAATTGGCCAATCAGATTGCAAGATTAGTAGCAATTGTAGTAAAAAATTTTATGACTATTATGCTGCACAGTACATACCAAGATTCTTTCTGAAATATTCCGTTTTTGATACAAAGCAAATGGCTCATCTAGGAATTACAGATTGGACTTAAAGCTGCACAGATACACAGAAATATAAACGAGTAGAGAAATTTGTCTTTTTGAAAGTCGCCGATTTCGCCGCTTCCGAAATTACATACTTGAAAACTGATGTTTGGTAGTACAAATGTCGAAAGAACAACCTTTTTTGTCGGAGCCATTTCTTGCTTCTCAGTTTAAAATTCCTGGAAAAGCAGCTTTTACAGATACTCGGCAATTTACGTGCGGTTGTCCTAAGACCGGCCTATCGCTGACGGGATTCTCTCTCTATTCTCTCCCTTCTTCCCACCACCCTCTGCATTTAGAGAAGAGGCTTGGATCGGTCGGTTATATCACGGCAAGGCTGTGCTTTAGAAGCGCCCAGGTGCCACAGGCGACTAACTTTTGCCTTTGGGCGACTGGAAAAACTTTCTTTTTTCATATATGCGTAAGTGCTGGGCACCCAGGATTTCATGGTTAGGAGCCTTTGGGCTCCTTGTAATTTTTCTTAGGCAACAGCCTTGTATCTCGTCAATTTTGATGACAATAATTGCTTTCCTTTTTTTCTCCCAGCACTGACCAGTCCTATATCTCACCAACAAGGTTTGTAGGCAATATAATGTAATTTGTTTTGTATTCGTTCTTTTGAGAATTAGAATTTTTAAATAAGAGCAAGAGTTTTTAGGATTGCTTTTTTGTTTTCCAACTTTGTGTTTCACTCGTTTCTTATTTGACGCTGCCATTTATTTGTTTATTTCATAATTATACAACAGTTCGTTTGTCTGGAGAGAGTGGAAAAGTCGACATTCTTTTAACAAAAGAGACTGCTGGGGTACACTGGACAGAGTTAGGAAAAGGTCTCCAAGGCAATAATTCATTCAAGCTACATAAAGACAGAGGTATGGAGGAATGACGGCTTTTGTCTTCTGCCGTGTACCTAATAAGCAATCCGCAGTTATTGAACGATAAATCCGTTTGTCATATATATGACTAAGAGAATATTAGCCTGTGAGCAAGCTCACCTTTGAGTCACACGCGCAAGCGGCGAAGAGCACAGCGATCCGGCGGGAAGGAATCTGGTGAAGAGGCGCCACTTTCTCGTCTCGCGGCTTCGCCGCTCGATTTCGCGCTCGCGGCTACGCCGCGCGCGCTTGTGTTCCAACGTGAGCGTGCTCGCAACAATCAGCAGTTCGTTCTTTTTCTGAAGTTAGCTATTTGCAGCTGATTAAATTTTGGAAACAAACCTTTACGCAATGCCCCTTTAACCTTTCGCCCTAAATGCTAACGAGAATCGTGATTTAAGAATCTAATTTTCATTGTATGACACGAAACAGAAAAGTGTTGGAATTTCCAATTACAGAATCCAGGTTATGGGATTGCAGAGTAGTCTCCGTAGAGTCTGTGACACATAACTGCAAATTGTTTTGCTGTGAGCTGCCTAATGGCGTCATCATGAGAATACCAATAGGACACCACATACACATGAGCAGAGATGTTGAAGGTTTGCTACATAGACAATAGCCTACATTCGGTGCGAAAATATTTATCTGTTCCGATGAGCGAACAGTGTAGCTCGAGGAAACCTCTGAGCTTTGAGGAACAGATCATGTCCACGGGCAAATATTCGAGCATATTTTCGCACCAAATGCAGGCTGTTGTGTTTATTATCTTAAACTATTTTTCGCAACACGCACAGTTTTGAAAATTGGGGAATATCACTCGGATATTCCCCCGTTTGAGCTAGTGCATAGTCAGTCACGTGACGCGTTTAGACCAATCGCGTGCCTGTTCTTCAGGCACGTACAATTGAAACTTTCAAAACGTAATAGGCTAACTTCGATATGTTAAAATTCTAACATGACTCCGAGGCTTAGGGAACTAAACCAAGGCTTGGCGTCATGTTAAAATTTTGATATATCGGAATAGGCCTATTGTCTTTCCTGGGAAAAGGACCATCCTCGACATAGTCAGCTGATTATTGACATAAGTTAGTCGACGTGATCTGGCGTTGGGGGTTTCTGCTGCTTTCTGTTGTTCTCTGTCGGGCTTTGTGCGAAGCACGTTTCGATTGTCAAGGCTGTTTTGAGACGCTTGTTTTTGGAGCGGACAGCTCTTCAGTTTACGATTACATTACGCCAAGCTGACCGGTTTTCACAGATATTTTGATCAATGTTGAAATCTTTCAGCGAGATTCTAACGAATCGTCTGTTTCGTCGGTCCTTCTGACTACCGTGGGAGCAAGTTGAGCCACAAATTCACCATAGAAAATGTTCTTGGAATACAGTCTTCACACATTAACGTGCGTAAGTCAAAAGGTTTAAAGTTGAATGCAAATAAGCATTAAATCTATGCTGTTCTTTTTTGCATTCAACTTGACCTTGCAGACATCCACGCCGATACTACAGAAATCCCGGAGAGTGCGTGATGGGAGAAGAAAGGGAAGGAATACATTAACCATCACCATAGTAACATGTGCCCCTATCAAATGACTATCTACCTATCTGCCAATTAGATCTCCGTAAAATGCATTTTATCACTGTTCGAAAACGTTTCTTTTTTTCCTTGTCGATTTTTTTTCTTTCTCCGTAGGTATGCAGATTAGCCGCCCTTATACAGTGGTACTGCCATCTCTTCAGGTGGATCCATCGGAGAGGGAATATGACGGGAAACGCTTTCATCTAATGATTAAACTCTACCCTGATGGAACGCTGACTCCAACGTTAAATGCTGTCGGAGCTGGTGAGCTTTTTGTTCACCCTTTATTATTCAGTTATCATATTGAATTACAAATTTGTACTCTTAAACTCGATATTGATGTTATTGAAGTTGTGTGCAAACTTGTTATCGACCTGTTTTTGTAACTGTATAACTACTAGAAAATGTTGCTACTTAGACAATAAGGACCGATTTCATCACAGAATGTAAGCAATGCAAATGATTTAGTAACTGCAATGTACTCCTCATTGATTGGCCCAAATGAAAAAGGTAGAAGAATGGTGTATGGTGATGCGTGTCCCTTAATCCTTGAAAATCATCTTACGATGTTAGCACGGATCCTGTCCGTTATATACGCAGGCTTGTATGTACTGTTTTACAAACTGAGGAAGATATTGGGACTTTTGCAGGTGACAGTCTCCAAATTACTGATCACTCGGGAGATTTTCGAGAATCTCGATTGAATGAAGCCAAGGAGATAGTTCTTATTGCCGCTGGGACAGGTGTGTTATTAATAATCCTAATTATCATTGAATCATCAATCGATCGATCAATCGGTCAGTCAGTCAGTCCGTCCGTCCTCCCGTTCAGTGAGTCAATCAGTCGATCATTCAGTCAATCAGTCGGTCAGTCAGTCGGTCATTCAGTCAGTCGGTCAGTCGGTCAGTCGGTCAGTCGGTCAGTCGGTCAGTCGGTCGTTTCTTTCTGCGGTATTTGCCTTCGTTTACTCTTAAAACTCTACTTGAAAATTACTGATTATCAAATTGTTGTTTTACCAAGCCTCAGAGACTGTGGCTTGCATATGCATGTGCTGTTTCAAGGGTCGATCTATTCGTTTGAATGGAAGAGGGATGTTGTTAGTGGCCGTAAACGAATCACAAGAAATTAGTTTAACAATCCAGGTATTGATTTATGTTCCTTGCAAAGTAATATTTCCCCAGTTATCCTTTAGATCATCTACCTGTGTGTTTATACTAAGCTGTTTTTCACAGGGTTCACACCCATGGTTAGGCTCATTCGGCACACAGTGTTGGAGAATTCCTCAGTGGACAAGTAAGTAAATTATGTCGTGACTCATTTTACACTTCTTATCCAAAAAGCGAGTGTAATGTTCTCACGCATTTTTGGTATGTTTTCAACATGACAAAACAGTTTTTTCCGCAAGGATATTTCCGTTAATATAACGAATCCCTTTGTTAGAATGTGTTATGTGTTGTGATCTCGTATAAGTATTCATGATAATACTATTTCTTAATTTTCTTAAACCTGTCTGTTTTTGCATCGCACGGGGAACTTCCTGAAATAAGTCGACTGCTGTGGTTATGAACATGTAAGGTTTAATCTCACAACAAGCTTTTTTTTATTGTGCAGGTCTGTCAAGCTCTTGTTTGCAAATCGTCAAGAAACAGACATCTTATGGAAGCAGCAGTTGGACGTGTTAGCCGATATCGCTAGTCCAAGGTGAGAGTTCTTCCCATCATTAACAAGTGAGCACAGCACGTTCACAGGCCTGTTTGTTCTCGCCGTTTTTTGTCTGTTTTTTTTTCCTTTGCTCTGAATCAGTTAGAGGCTGTACGTTCAAAATCTCACTAGGATGTATCACTTGTTTTCAGATTTCAAGTGTTCTACACGGTGACCCAACCCAACCCTGAGTGGGAAGGCTACGAAGGTCGTGTTTCCATGGAGATGCTGTTAGAAATTTTACCCCCTCCACCTAGTGCCGGCTGCGAAAGGGAGTTACTTATTGGAGTGTGTGGTCCTGATGCGTTCACGCAACACATCGTCAGGTGAGAGAGGGAAATCATTTTTGTTCGGCTTACGCTTTTAATTTTAATTTAATCAATCATGCCAGTAAAGAAATAGTTTAGGCGCTAGTGAGGTCGACTTTTGGGCCAGTACATCCTAGTTACAGCTTTTCCAAAGGACAAGCTCCAACACTGGTTTATGAGCATTTTGTAGTGTTAGCTTTGTAAGATATTGTAGTGGAAATTTCATCTTCATTAACTGTGTGTTGCTATTTACCCTTTCATGTGCAGCATGCTAAAAGACCTCAGTTACACTGGAAAAATGATTCATGCCTTCCTGGCCTGATTTAAAGCTTCAAGTGTACATTAGAGTTTGTCTTGTTTACACCAACGCGCCACAGATTCACTCACAAGACGTCAGTTACCCTGGGATAATGAGCCATGCATTCCTGGCTTCATTGAGGCTTCAAGTTTTACTAGACTTAAATGTGTTCACACCAGCGCGCCACAAATTCACCCACAAGACCTCAGTTACATTCAGTGCATTCCTGCCTGCATTGAGGCTTCGAGTTTACACTAGATTTAGTTGTGTTCACATCGACGCGTCACGGATTCATTCAAACGACGTCATTTACATTGGAAATCCATGCATTCCAGGCTTATCGACAGCAGTATGCTTGTGTACACTACAATAAACTGCGTCCACAACAGCACGTCACGGGCTTAGTCTAGATCTCCTACCGTGCAAAAATCATACGTGTAATGTTCACATGCGAACAAGTGATCACTCTCAATACACGAATGTCGATCATGCAGTTACGCACCTGGATTATGTATTGGCATCTTGTACCTGTTTTGAAACTACACGAGTATGAGACTTCCTGCCTCTTGTGAATTGAACTGGTTGAAATGGACAGGACCAATTTACGATTCAAACGTGACTGGAGATTCGCATGGTCACAACGCCTCAAAGTTACTCAGACGCTTGAGCGCACGTGATGAGCACGTGATGTGCACGTGATGCAGCACGCATGACTCAAAATTGACCCAGGTCAGTGTATCTTGTACGCGAGTAACCGTCTTGCCGTCCACCAAGCATTATACGCCTTTCAATTACTACGACAGGAATTTTCTCAATTTAGCAAACAAGATAAATACTTTCATGATGAGAACGTTTTGATAAGACAAACTCTAATAATGCAGTGTTTTTACAATTGATTCCTATGGTTACCACGGCAGACACGGAGATTATACGGATTCTAAGACCAAGATTAGATATAGAATTTCCTTGGCAACTTCAGCCATACAAAATTTCAATAAATGAGCATCTTTTCTGTAGGATGTCCTTGCTGGTCAAGACAGTCTTAAGTTTCACGAGCTAATGGTTCTCCTAGTAGAGTCCTTATTTATTGTTACATCGTTTCCAAGATGACTAAACTATGTAACTGTAATCTCCCTCCTCTGTGGGACTTAAAAATGTGTACATAACCATTCTCTCAAATTAAAAACAGAATTAAAACTTTGCGATATCTGCCGAACAGTCACTTGTGTTCTCGTTCATTCTTTAAAACCTTCTTATACTAAACGTTCTGTTATTATATTGGTCTCCGTAGCCTCCTACCCAGATGGTCACGCAGACGTTCTTTGGGCTCGTCACGCAATCTTCCTCCTCCACTTGGTGGAAGAAAATTGCGTGACATGTCCAAAGAGCGTCTGCCCCCCCCCCC